GGCTGTGCCGGGTCTGCCCCGCACTGCGGGCTTCTCCCCGCGCCGCTCTCGCCCCACATCTTGTTTCCTCCCACAATGCCTCGGGGCAGCGGAGGGAGGTGCGGAGGGGGAGCTGGAAAGGGTGGGGGAGGGCGATGTGGCCTTAAGAGAAAAAAGAATGCAGACCCTTCAACCCAGGGCTGAAGAGGCGAGGCCTAAAGGGAATAAAGAGGCGAGGCTCAGAGAGAGCGCGAGGCAGGAGGGGGGACGGCTAGAGACCCCAATCCCACGAGGAATAAAGGGAGGGAGGGCGAAGGAGATTTCAGACCCAGGGACTAGATGGGGAAGAGGTGGAGATCCTAACCTTAGGCAGAGGAAGGGCCCTGGAGTGAAGTCGTCGACTTCAGAGGAAAAGGCAGGACCCCTTCCCTCCCCCAAACCTGTGGGAAGCAGAAGAGCCAGCCCTACGCAGAGGTAAAGTCACCAACAGCCCGGGGCTCCCTTCCCCTCACCTTCAGGGAAGGTCCCTTCCGTCCAGCCCAGCCTTTGTTCCTGAGTCTCTAGGCCGCCACCTCAACTGCCAGCCGGCCCGGCTGCTGTTTCTCTTCAAGGGCAATGGAGGCCGACCCTAAGCCCGAGCGTGAGAAGGGAGGTTGGTGTTTGGTACACAGCGCCCTGTGAGAGTCAGCCTTTCTGGTCAGTCGGTCCCCTACCAGGCTGGTTACACAGGACCGGAGGGGGACTGAGCAGAACCCCCAAGAGGAGGAGCCTTCGACTTCAGCTCCTGCATATGCCTCACCTTACGGAGAACCGGGGTACAGAGAGGGGTCACGTGACCCCCTGCCCGCTCGCCACAGGTGAGCCTGGACGGGAATTCTCGGCTCAAAAGTGTTGCTTCTAGACAGGAGCCCCCGGGGTAGCTGAGGAGGCTGTTTGTACAACGGAGTGTCCATTGGGAGAGTGCCTGCCCTCCACTCCACCCCGCTCACCTCTAGGGAACGGGAAGCTTCTCTTTTCTTCCCGGTTCATACGCGAAGTGTCTACCTAAAAAAGTGGTGAGAGTCTCTATAGGGAGCCCAGCATTTAGGCCACATGGTGAAGATTAAGAAGCTCCCATTCCCATCATTTTCCCTTCACTGCCCCAAACCATCGTCAGGAAGTCAGACTTGCTCTGGCCCTGGCCTGCTAGGGTTTGGAACACCCTTAGGTAGTGTCCATTATGTGTCAGGGGAAACGTGGAAAATCATCCCCTCCCACCTCTGCTTTCCACAGCTCTGTCATCTGCCAAACTCAAGCAGGATTTCAGAGAAATAGGCAAGGCCTGAGGTATCCCCTCACACCAAGGGTATTCTGATGTCAGCCTCTGTGTGAGTGATGGGGCATTTGTGGGGAGGGAGGGGGGAGGGAGGAGGCTTTTTCCACTTAGGGTTTGTGGAGAGTTAATCTCATGGACTACTGGGAGGAGAACTGGTCGTACCCTCTTCCTCCAGTGATCATTAGCTTCCAGCCTATTCTAGGGCCTGAAGGTCAGAAAGGCCATGTATGGCTGTGCAGGTTGTTCACTGCACATGGCATCTAGCCTAAGAAGTAAATGGAGGCTAAAATACAGCCTGCGCTCCACTTGCTAAGCTGTGTGCCCTGCTGCAGACAGGCCAGCATCCACTCAAAAGATGCCCTTTTTTAAGCAGGCATAAAGGTGACTATGAACTAGTGGTGGCCCTTGCGAGGCCATGCAGCAGGGTATAAATCGTCCCCCTCTTTGGCCCCCTTCCCGAGATTAGAGTAGGGCAAGAGTTTGGTCATTTCCAGTCTGGGCCTGTGGTGGGGTGGAGGTAGGGACACAGAGAACTTCAACTAACAGGTCAGACTTTTAAGAAATAAGGTGTCACCTCCTGGATATTTCTCTAGTCCATGCCCCCTTTCATTTTAAGTGCCTCGTCCTCATTATGAATACCCTGCATCAGTGTGCGTGACAGGACTAAGCTCTAGAGTATCAGGAAGATTTGTTAATAATAGTGTGGTTTACAGATAAGAGTTAATATTTGTAGAGCCCTCACTCTGTGCCAGACTCTAGTCTAAATGTTTTAAATGCGTATATTATTACATTTAATCTCTGGAACAATCATGGTGAGTATATTACTATTCCCCTGTACAGAGGAAACTGCCACTTAGAGAAGTTCAGTAAATTGCCCAAGATTACCCAGCTTGTCAGCGGCAGGATTCAACCCCAGGCTGTCTCTCTTGCCTCCTAACAGAGAAAAAAAGTGTAAACCAGGGGTTCCATGCTCTATCTAAATCATACCAATATATCCTAAACTTATCTGACTCCAAAGCCCTTTTTTATCCAAACGTTTATTAACATCTCCAGGAACTACTATTATTCCACAGGACACAGTTTAGGAAACTTGTGCTATACTAATTACTGCCACTTATGTAAAGTGCTTACTGTTTAGGATAATTACTATGCAACATAGAAACTGTTACAATTAATGTCAGCTTAACTTGGTGCATGTTTTTATTTGATGCTACTACACGTTGGTGATTGCCCAGTTTTCTGTTGCCTAGATAGCAGTGCCATGTGTTCAGATTTTAAAATCAGAGGGGATTTTTGTTTTTGTCTCATCTGTGGGTCCCTTACCCTCTGGCTACTTCTTTAACTTAGGGGTTTCCCAGGGCACTGTACTTCAGTCACTGTTCAATTTGAGTCGTTTCACCCACGTGTGTGGTTTTTACCATGGTCTGGGCCTTGATAGCCCACCTAAATCCCAGACCTCTCCATGGTGGGTATCCCACAAGCTCTTCAGACCCTTCACATGCACACACATAAATACTGGTCCTTAGAAGCATTGGCCCTGGATTCTCACTGCTTTACACCACTCTTCCAGCTATGCAGATCTGGCCAAGCTATTCAACTGTTCCCCTGTACAGAGGAAACTGCCACTTTCAAAGTTTCATTTCCTCATTTATAAATTGAGAATAATAATATCTACCCCATAGAATTATGAGAAAATGCATGAAAAACTCTTGGCACAATGCTGGTCCATCTAAATGACTAATAAATGTTAGCCATCATCAACACCTCTCTTCCAGACTTGTTTTCCTTCACTGTATTTCTTATCTCAGTTCATGGCCCCATTATCCACCCAGGCACTGAGTCAGAAACCTGCAAGCCCCCCTAGACTTGTGTCTCTCTCTTGCCCAGCACATCTCCATCAGTACTCACCTCCTGGATATTTCTCCAGTTCATGCCTCCTTTCATTATAAGTGCCTCATTGTCATTGTGAATACCTTGCATCAGGCACTCATCATCTCTTCCAGTTGGTTCCCTGCCCCCATTCTTGGTACCTCCTTCCCAAATCCACACTGCAGTGATCTATCTAAAATGCAGATCTCACCCAACCAGGCATGGCTCAGCAGTTGAGCATCGACCTAGGATGCAGGAGATTGAGGTTCGATTCCTGGTCAGGGCACATGCCCAGGTTGCAGGCTCAATCCCCAGCAAGGGGGGTGCAGGAGGCAGCCGGTCAATGACTCTCTCATCATTGATGTTTCTCTCTCTCTCCCTTCCTCTCTCTGAAATCAATAAAGATATATTTTTTAAATAATAAAATTAATTAATTAATTAAAATAAAATGCAAAACTCCCAAGCACCTCCCAGCTAGAAAACAAAAAACATGCTTTACCTACACACACACGCACGCATGCACGCCTCTCTCTTTCTTTCTGCCTTATCTCCCCACACTTCCCATCTCCCTCTTCAACCTCTAGTAACACCATCAACTGCCTGTGGTTTCCCCACACCCAGATTCCACACCTTTGTCCATGTGGTTCCTGTGCCTGTGAGGCTGTGGCTTTCTTTCCTGACTAATTCCTTTGAGCGTCCTCTACAAAGCCTAGAACATGAAAAGTTCCCTGTAAGTATTGGTTAAACTGATCATGCTCATTAATAGCTGAAAAACACAGCTTGGAAGGACACTCTGTCTCTTCCTCCACTCAAAGAACCATGGCCAGGCTCTTCTGTCTCTGGAGGACCAAAAATGAATGCTATTTACATTGGGCCCTTCCTGCCTAGAGCCAAGCTGCTAGCTGAGGTAAATCACTGTTAGCTCTGGGGAAAGTCTAGGCCTGATTTCTACCTAAGCCTCTATTGGGTATTTGGCTGATATCCTGACACCTGACAGATAAAGACAGTCAAGGGCTCTCCCACCCCAGCTGACAGTCACCCAGAAGAAAGAGGCCATCCAGTGACAGAGGTCACTCCACCAAGCCCTTTGGCCCTTGACTTGCTTCAAGGGCTCCAGCAGGATGGAGAAGGTGGGAGCACATGCACTGGGGCTCCCACTGCAGTGTAGCCCTGGTGC